CCCCAAAACCCCAAAACCCCAAAACCCCAAAACCCCAAAACCCCAAAACCCCATAAAGCACATGATAATTTTGGCTTTTAAATTAATATAATATGTCCGATAGCCAGGGAATTGAATCTTCATTTGGGAGGGGTCTCCTCCAAATGGAAGATAATCCAAATATCAACGTATTTAAGACAACGAATTCAGGCGACTTTTCCCACACAGAAAAAAATGGAGAAAGCCTTAGCTTCACATCTGGAGAGAATTTGCAGAATCCTTTGGGAAATATGGGTGAATTCTCTGGGGAAGGCCTTGATGCTGCCTACGACCCTATGGATTTCAGTGATGGTATCAATAACTGCGAGGTAGTCAGGCCACAGGATGATTACGATGAGGATTACGAGTGAGATAGTAACAACCCAATTATTCCTGAGACTACTCCTATGACAATGGAGCTCAATGATAGCAACTCGATAAAGCTCAGAAAAGGCATTTTAGTAGTTAGGAAGTACAAAGAAGGAGTAGACGAACTTAATGAATTTCAAAGTATTCGTGGATATTCTGTAGTGGACAGGCAAGCGCCAAAGTCAGTCCGCTATAATGAGGGTAATGCCCTTGAGAAAGTCAAGTACTTCTCTAAAGACGCTGAGCCTAACGCTCCAGCTCTCACTTTTGACCAAGTGATTCAAATCCAGAATGAGTTAGAGAACTTAAAGGCTGAGGAAGTTAAGATTGAAGATAATCTGAGCCAAGAGCAACAGAGAAAGGATGGAATTAGTAAGGAAAGAAAACGAGCTCTTGAAAACATTAAGAAGGTAGAGAACCAGAATTCTAATGTGTAGAAAAAGCAGAGAAAAGAGGAAGAGAACATCATGCTACAAAACATGAAGCCAGAGATTGAGTATGTCAGAGGATCATTGGTTAAGATCCAAAAGCCAGATGATTACTTCCTTTCTGACCCAGAGGAGGACTCTCAAATTGATATTCAGAAAGAAAGAGAAAGCAGAATTCTTAGTAAAGTATACTTTCATGAAGAGAACATTCCTAAAAATCCGTCCATGGATAGTATGAAGGTTTTTAATACTAAGAACAAGATGATAGTAAAAGGATCTTCTCTCAAAAATACATATCTGAAAAATAAAGGAAGTGTAAAAGACCAGAGCAAAACTGATCTGTCTACTGAAAACGTTGAGCAGAGCTCTAGTTCAGGTCTGAACCTACTTTCTGCTAGCCTCAATCAAGACAATGAGGCAAGTGGTAATTATAATCATGCTACTGGTTTACAAGAATACAATACTTCTACGGTGGATTTTTCAAACACTTTAAACAATGAAACCCTACATCATGGGGGAGAAAAATTAGATTCTGAGACTTTATCAGAGGAAAGTTTGCAACAAATTAAATTTTTGAGGGATCTCTCTCAAAACTACCGTACAATTCCTTGTAAGAACTATCATGGCTCGCAAGGATGTGGTAGGTCTCGATACTGCCACTTTATTCACTTATCTGAATACGAAGGTAATTCTGTCGTCATTAAGTCTTCTCTATTGCCATTAAGTCTCTATTAAGTCTCTATTAAGTCTCCTTTTTCTCACCAATTGTTTAGGCAAAGAGATCCCCAAAGATGTCTTTGGGAAAGTCAGGCCTGCCTATATTAATAAAAGGGATAAGGTCCTGAAGGAGATCAACTCTTCAGAGAAGCCACTCACTGACACTAGAGTAGGAGTCTTGTACCAGTACATGCAGAAGTTCTTGACCTTAGACACTATTTTGGAGCATGAGATCCAGCAAAGAAAAGAAACTGATCTTCCCAAGTCTTATAGAGAAGGAAGAAGAAATGGAGCTTCAGTGAAGAAATCCTACGTTGAGGAGACAGAGGATCAATATGATCCTTTACAAGGTATATATCAAGAAGTGATTGTGTAGGGAATGGATACTCAGAGCCAGATCCTCTAAATCAAAACCATACAGCTCAGAGAGGAGGATATAATTTTAGTAAAAACAACAGGAGACATAACAAAAAGATGATGCTGTCCGAGGAATTTATGGCTTTAGGTGGAGAGCAGCCATCTCAAAATGAACCAAAGGCATATACTTCAGTAAATTTTTATTCACATAATTAGCATTTGCGTTCACTATTACTCAAATATAGCTTATTGAATAATTAGGTTATAGGTAAATTTTCAACTCCTCCCATTGAAGAGAGCTGAGAGAGAGAAACTCTCTGGAATTTTCTTGTTGATTTTTGAGGCTTTTGATCTTGCGAACCCTTTCTTAAATCTATCTCTAATTTCTTATTATGATCCAAATGCGGTCTAAACTTAGGCTTAACTCTTGACTTCCAGTATTCCTGGATTCTTTCTCTTTTTCTCTGTGCTTCTTCAATATCCTGGGGTTCGACTACAATAGAATTATTCCAGCCTGAGCTCCTTTCGTTCCTTTGCTGTAATTTCTGGAGCTTAGATCCATTAAATCGGGCTCTATCTTTACTGATCATTTTCCTTTTGAACCGCTTTGTAGGTAAAAGTTTCTCTATAAGGTCTCTTCCTTGGTTAATGTCCCTTGCATTCAAGGAATATTTTCTAGCCAGACCTCTATTATCAGGTTCTATTGAGTCTTTATTAAATATGTTAGGCAACATCCCCCCACTAGAAGGGTTCGTGAAGAACGATTCAGTGGTGATCTTAGGGCAACATTTTTTAGACTTTAGACTCGGTTTTGTGATAGGCTTCGGGATTGTCCTAAACTTCGGAGGAAGCCCTTTATTAGGCTGGGTCTCAACCAGTCTTTCCTCTTTAGGCGAATGATTTGTCTCTAGGTTTATGGTATGATTTATAGCAGGAAGTTCAGCCTTATGGTCACCTCTCTTCGGCACTATTCTGTAAGGAAACGATTTCGCAATCCTATGAGCTCCTTTATAAAATCCATTTTTTGTTTTCTTCAAAGACTGGCTGTATTTCTTTACCATTAAATCAGCGGTATTCATGGGAATTTTTGAATTCACTTTTGTTAGCGGAGATATCTTTTTCGGGCTCGGGCTTTGTCTTAAATTTATGCTCCCATTTCTGCTAGGATTTCGCTTTTTCATTTTCTGAGAATTTTTAGTAAATTTCGGAATTCTTGATTTCAACTTCTTTTTCAAGGTAGACTCAGATCCCACATTTTGAAGATCTCGATTACGAGTAAACGGCTTATGCTTATTAGGAGGAGTTCTTCGATGCTTAACAATTGTCTGAGAGACCATTGGAGGTTCACGACCATTAGGGAGATATTCCTTCTTATGCAGGTAGATGAGTTTATTCTTCTGAGTTTTGCTACGTTGTTCGAAATTTCGACTACCTTTGGTAGCTAACTTAGCTTTGTTTATATACCCTGGTAATTCAACTTGGTCAGCTTCGCTGACTTCACTGAGTAAGCTCTCATTTAATTTGAACCTTCTATTTATCAAATGGGGATAAGTTCTTATCCATCTCTGGTGTCCTGACTAATAAGTTATGTGTGGGTTCCTCTCCAGTGGAGTAGGTATCCCTCCCATAACTTTTAGTGTTTAGATAGAGTTCCATTAGCATTTTATCCTCACTTTTATTTGATGCTAAGAGAATTCTGGGAAGACATCCTATCCAAAATTAACTTTAGCTGCGATCTTGCGAGTGGCTGGTTCTGATAATACTCTTTTATACCTCCAAGCTTTGATGTCTGGAAAGGTTGGGGTGGAGGTATTTCAGTATTCGAGGTCAGGAATTTATTCTGAAATTTTTTGGTAGAAAATTGGTTTAGAGGCCCTGAACCTCCTCTTTTGGGTGAACTTGTTTTTGAAATAGATCCTATGCTGATGAATTAAATATTTACCATTTTGAGAAAGTTGCTGTCTTGCTCTTTTTAGATGCGATTTCTCTCCAAAAGTTGTATATTGAGATTTTTCATTAGCATGCTTGTTTGTTTTTGAAGGACTTGAGGAAGAGCTGTTATTAAATTGATCCATACGCATTAAACGTCTTCTTTGCTGAAGTTTATTTCTCTTCCAACAGGAGCATATTTATCTTCTCTCACTCTTGATAAGCAACGTCTAGCTTAGGATCAGAAGTGCCAAACCTAGTTGATATTCCATCAGTTCTAATTTCATTGAAGATACTTTGTTCTGGATAAGAGTCGTTATTTATAAGTGTGTACTCTCATGATGTCGAATTGGCCTGTTAGGAGGTCTTATTGCTTTAGGAGGTTTACCCCATTTCCCTTCAACTTTCATTGACAAATAATTTCAATTATTATCATATATTTTGGGGTTTTGGGGTTTTGGGGTTTTGGGGTTTTGGGG